GTATGAGGTATGGAAAAGGATGAGGAGCTGCTTAAGCGCTGAAAAGGAAAACTGATATACTGCAACATAATACAAGGTCCCCTGATATTCTATTAAAACGAAGGACATTAAGTTAAATCATGACAGCCCAAATCAAGCCTGATAGTTTAAAGCTTATAATTCACTGGTGTCGGGTATTTTAAGAAACAATCAGTTAGAAAACTTTCCTAATTGATTCTAGCAGAGAGCAAGTATGCACGAAAGAACAAAGTAACAGAAGTCATAAGACTGAGGGGATAAATAACCTCAATATGCAGCACAAATTACAGCTTGCCTAAGACAGACTTTAAGCTACATAACAAACACAACATAACTATCCAATTATATTGAGTAATTGCGCAGGTATTGTTTGACATGTAAAAATGTGAATCATGATTGTGAATAGAAGCGAAGCACAGCAACAATTGAAACAAATTTACATCCATTATGTGTATTTAGTGAGAAATCAATCATGCCCTTAAATAGAACAGGGTGAAACCAACAATTTGGAACAAAGCCTTTTACAAAGTTGAAAATTTATTTACATTGAAAACCTACAATCGTTTAAAGAAACAGAACTAACAAAGAGTATACCAAATATGCAATACAATGTAAGTAGATAGATAGATACATTGTGCCAAAGAGATAAAAGAATGAACTTGTAAAGATCATAGATCACTTTAATCACTTCATCAATGCCTGCAGTACCTTTTCGTCAATAGGTTTACCAAAAAACTATAAATCCATTATGACAATTAAGATTAGATAACCATTATGTAACTCAAACATATACTTAGACTTCCAAAATAAGGGACATTTATACAGACTAACAACTCCCTATGTAAACAACCATACAGAAGAAAAATGAAGTCGGACTTGGAATCATACCCTTAGTCTGTCAGACAAGATAGAAGGAGTAATGAGCTTGTACTTCGGAACTTCGGAAAGCAGCTTGTCGTAAGTCCCCTGATCAAACAAAACCATGTTGTTCACCTTCTCCTTTTGCTTTCCCTTGCTCCACTTCTGTCAATCCATCAAAGTTTAAAAAAAAAAATGAGAAATTCCTCACACATTTTCACACACAAAAATCAATGAGAGAAAAACAACTCATGTAATGTTTCCCAAACAATCAAACAAAAGCCCCAAATATTAGAGAAACGGATTCTGGGTAGGAAATACAAAGAGACCTTCTTCTTCTGCTTGCCTCCGCCAGACTTGGCAGGCTTTGAGGACGGTGGGGGAGCCTTATCCTTCTTGGGAGCCTGTAAGAACAACAAGTACAAGAAATTAAGCGACGAGTCTACAAAATTCGAAGACCAAAAATGTTGCATTCAGGTTTTTTGTAAGCATTAGAAGGGAAATGAAGAGACTTTGGGGCTCGGAAGAGATAAAATTACCATGGCGATGAGGGTCGCAGGATTCGCAGGGGTTGCAGGGCTCTGGAGTCGATGTGGAGCAAGAGACAGCCGTCGGACGGAGACGTAGAGTTAGGGTTTTGATAAGAATCGCAAAGAAATAGAGTTCGGGCTTGGTAGGGTTTTTAAGAGCAAATAGTCCCAAAACCCACTTCACCCCTAAAATAGGCCGGCCCAAAGTCCACCCCAGCTTCCAGGCCAGCACAGAATGGACAGGGGGAGAAATCGGCCCATCTGACGTCATACTGACGTCAACCACAGGCTAAGTCCTTTTTTGTGGTTGACGCATTGGATATACGCAAGCGTGGAAGCGCATTCCCGCAATGAAAAAAAAATTGTAAAAATTGTTTAAAAATACAAAAAAAACTAAACAACTTTTTTTTTATATAAATACCTAACCATCTTTCACAAAAGTTGTACTTTTAGGAAGGGATGTGATATCCACCCACCCTTTTTTTCTTCTCACACACCCCTCTAATTTTCGGCCATTGGATAGGATGAATTGAAGAAGATCAACGAACAGAAATTAACAATGGTGTGTGAAAAGTAAAATAGAATGTGTGGATAGCACATCACTTTTAGGAAATGACACGTGGAGTAACAAGATTGATTAAAAATTTATCCAAAATTAAAAATAAATTTTTTTATTATTTTATAAAAAAAATTAATAATATTTTAATACGAATTGACTAGACTCTTGCCCAGCTCATGTTTTTAAAGGTGGAGATGCAATTGGCCAAATACTGTTTATTGTAGTCAATTACTATTCATTTGGGTGGATTAAAGGGACTTTGGGCTAGCTCATTTTTTAGGGGTGGAATTGCTCTAAGAGAAGCACTAACGTGCACCGTATGCATCTTTGTTTTTTTTTTTTTTTAGTACATCGATATATTTACACTAGGAGGAGGAGAGGGGGAGTTCGGTTAAGCTACATAATAGACAGCCTAGTTTGGTATTGAATTCGCCATCCAAGAGATTCGAACCTAAGACCTCCTCACTTCTAAGCAAAGAGGAATACCACCAGACCGTAGTACTGGGTGGCTTTAAGAACATTTTTCTCAAAAAAAAAAATTGTAATATCAAATTTTTTTTCTTAATTTTGAAAAAAAAAAATCATAAGAGTACTTTCATCTTTAGATCATCTCCAACTCTTAGGTTAAAACCAAAAAAAAATGAATCCTGAAAATTTAGGTTTTAACCCATAAACAAACTTTCTACTCTAACCCTTCTGGGTTAAATTTTTAGCCCGATATTATTAAAGATTGAATTTCGGCTATTTTTTTTTAAGTAACCTTTTATCGAGACAACCATTCCATTGCCGGTCTACTACCTGATGGCTTCACATCACTAAAGAATCAGTAATTGACAGCAAGAACTAAAAATCAATAAAAGGAAAACTTATATGTTGTTCTATATCTCCATGAATCTAGGAACTATTGCTTGCATTGTATCACTTGGTCTACGTACTGGAAATGATAACATTCGAGATTATCTTTGGTTTCATAGTCAGGAGTATAATAAGTCAATTTATAATCTTTAACACCAGCTTAGAATCCAAAACTTGCTTTTGTCTCTGTTTATGGTGACATAAGTCCCTCCCTACAACTAATCAACTAATAATTCTCACAAGAACAAGGTCTACTCGACATAATTATGAAGTTAATAAAACCTTTCACATGAATCTTTCACAAAACTATCAACTAATATTATCAACTAATCATAATGGTTCGTTATTAGACTGTGGTATTTGATTCGCCAAATACATCATTATTGTATACTCTTTCATATGTATGGCACAACACAACCTTTGTTTTTCAAGTTTCTAATATCTTATGTTAAAATCACTAAATCGACACTAATATAATTTTTTTTTTAATTATTTTAGCCATTGGATTTAATTTTAAGTCATTAGATCTTTCTTTTTTTAACTGTTAGAATTTAAAAAAATATATACATTTGAATATGGACTGTTGGATCAACCAACGATCCAGTGCTCTAACATGGTTGGATTAAAGCAGAGAGCCATTAGCCTCAATATTCTAGCTAACAAGTGCCCGACAAGTCCAAGGAGGTGGGTCCTTGGTTGCCGAAGACTTGAAGAGCCTAGCACGTTGATGTGTGCCTTGCGTGAAGCTTGTGTGTCTGGGCTTCTACTAGGAGGGTCCACGCGCACAAATGAGTTAACACACTAACCCAGTGTCAAATCCTAGACGGAATTTGCCCTAAAATGATTGGTGGGTTAAACTCATATTTGGCCCAAGCGTTGGAGCAAGTTGGGATGGGTTTAGAACCTAAAATTTGAGTTTTACTCAAGGATTGGAGTGTGTCATAGGGCAAAATTGTCCAAGAAATTGGCCAATAGACTTAAAGAATAGTAATTATCCAAGTGCATCTCTATTATGTCATTTATGTAGTAGAAGGGCTTCAATCCAATATCTAAAATGCATAAGGTTTGAGTTTATAATAGTTAGGGATTAGGGACTACAACTAAACTATCCCTTATTATTATTTTATACACACTTTTTTTTTACTATCTCTACCCCATGTCTCTCTACTTCTCTTCTTCCATATGCGTTTTGTTCTTCGCGTGCCCAGATTGCTCCCAGTCAAAATCAAACTCAGTAAATCAAACCCATACTTTCTTTTCATTTCATTTTCTTTCTATTCAATTCAAACTCATATTTCTCTTCTTTTAATTTTTTTCTCTTCAAATCAAACATAGGAAAATCCGAAATTTTTCTTTTTTCAATTTACAGAGGCTTCGTCGGATCGTCGGATCCGCAAATTCATTTCAATCAATTTCTTCAGCGCCATCATCGTCCTCCCTGTAGCGTTGTCGTCATCCTCTCTAAGCTTATGGCGACGGCCTAGCTATGGTGACGGCGCTAAAGAAGAAGGTGGAGCACAGAGGGACCGAATAGGTGGCGGTGGAAGAGCTTCAACATCGTCAACGACAACCTTGATCTCCTCTTTGCGCTTTTTGTCATCATCTGAAGAGGCTCGATGGTGCTTGCTATGCGAGTCCTGGGCGTCGCTGGTGACAGTCTCGTAGTGGGACTAACAGGGAGGAGGGAGGTGACGGGAAGAAGCTGGGTTTGGGTTTCGATGAGTTTGCTGGGATTGGGTTAGCCATAGTTAGGTTGCTGGGTTTGTGGTGGAGGATGAGGAGGCTATAGGAAAGATGGAGGGTAGAGGAGAAGGAGGCTACAGGAGAAAGAGGGAGGGTAGAAGTGAAATTAATGAAAAAGAAAAGGGTTATTGTTGTCCAAAAAAATTATAATTTTGTGTTTCTTGGGCTGAAACAAGTTGTTCCATGGGGAAGGTGGAACAAAAAAATGACTAATATTCGTTCAACGGGACAGCGCATCTTAGACAATTTGACGCACCAAACGTGGGATGAGTGCGTTCCATCCCACTATGTTCTATCTCATCCCATGTAACCAAACAGTACAAAACGAATAATTAAAGTACCCAAATTTTAAATTCCTCCATGCAATTTGGTTTATGGTGGGTCGACTAATCAACTATGTAATTGAATGATTGAACCGAACCAAAAAAAAAAAAAAAAAAAAAAAAATACACCTTTTCTTAAATCAGACGGTGAAGAGCTTCCATTTCTCCATCTGAGTCCATCCTTTATAAACCCTGAGGAAGCCCATTTCAAGCAACTAGATTCTTCTTCTATCGTCTCTCTCGTCTCAATCCCTGCAAGCGTGGTAAGCCATTTCTCTGCAACATTTCTCATCGCCTGTTTGTTTCTTGCAATTTTAGGGTTTGTAATCGAGTTGCCTAACTGTTTGATGTCAGTCACCACTGCGAGTGTGACTCCGATATAATTCGTGGAATCAATTTTCCTAAATTTTTTCAGGGCTGATTTAAGGTATAATTTATTTATGCTGCACCAGTTCCTTAATTTCTATAAAAATTGAAGCTCGATTTGTTAATAATTTTTTGAAAATTATTTTATCACATTTCATTTCGTATGATTCTGTAATTTGGGTTTATTGGAATGGAGGAAATTGTTTGCAAGTCAAGGCAAGGGGAATTAAGGTTCTGTTTAGTTATAGGCTATAAATAGTGAAATATAATTTTCGCATCGTTTGAAAGAAAAAAGATAGTAAGGGAGTGTGTTACAAGCTGCCGTTGGTCCTTAGTTTGTGTTAAATATACCATGTTTATTTTGAAGAATGAAATCTCCGTGATATGCATTCAAACAGACCGAGGCATTTTGCTTCTTTCTTTATTTGTGTTATTTTTCTTCTGGGTTTTCTTTTGGGCGAGGGGATGAGGGCGGGGTTTGTAATTGGAGGTGATCTTTAATGTATCTTACTGAATTCTCATACTTGCCTAGTTAATATTGGACTCAGAAGAGGGCTTATGTGCTATTAGGTCCTTAATGGTTTTGTTGTTCCAGGGTTGGGGTACAATAGAGAACATCCTATCGTGCGTATGCAATTTGAATATGACTTGATAAAGGTTATGGTGGAAAAGGTTATATTATCAAGTTAAACAATAAGACAGTTGGGTTTATCAGATAATTTATTTTGATTATCAACAGTTTACAATTTTTGATTTTTTGTATTTTAGAAGTTTTTTTTTAGAACTGAAAACATCGCTTATGGAATAAAAGATAAGAGTATGTTTTTCTTGATCCATAATATCATTTTCAGGAAGGATAATCAACTACAATGGCATCAAGGATGGCTGCAAGGTTTGTGCCTCGGAGGTTTTCAAGCAGTGGAAAAGTTCTCAGTGAGGAGGAAAAAGCTGCAGAGAATGTTTACATCAAGGTCATTTCTAAATTCCCTGGATATTTTCTCTTATGCTTTTCCTTTGAATTGTTTGGCTGCTTATTTGTCATGCATTTGTATTAATATCCTCTTGGACGTAGGTTAGGTGCTGAGGAACATTGCCGGATGATGGAACCATCTTTATTTAGGAGCTGAACTTATGTAAATCACTTGTCTGTCTTGGGAATATGAACTAAGAAACTGATTAAAAATCTGAAGATAAACTTGTAGAAATGTATCAGGTCTGTATATTATGGACCTAAGTATTAATCTTATAGCTGGTAAACACCTTTTAGAGTTGGGTGTAAATGATGCAAGAACTAAGTTAAAGGAATGCTAAATAAGTCGATCCATGTACAAGCACATACGGTGAAGAGGCTTTTTTTTTTAATGTAATAAAATGCAATTTAGACATGTATTTGATGGTTCATTGTGTTTTAATCTTTCTATGGCACATGATTATTGTATTAGACGTCATAATTTGATTTTAGAACTTCTCAAGCGTATTGTGGGGTCTTTTGAGATTCATATACCAATGATCCTATGAAAGGGGATTTTTCTTAGGGAACTTTAACGAAAAGCACCTGGTACTGTTCACTTTAACGAAAAACCACATTTTTACACTAAAAAGTCAATCTTGGTACTATTCACTTTACCCTTTATTTTGTCCTTATCATTAAAACTTAAAGTTTTCAAGCCCTTTTAATTAGTTTTCCTTTTTTCTTTCTTAAGCAATGAACCTAAGAAAAGACTTAGAGTACTTGGATCTAACGGAGGACATGACACAGAACCGAGCGCAATGGCGTTCTAGGATTCATATAGCCGACCCCACTTAGTGGGAAAAGGCTTTGTTGTTGTTGTTGTAATGAAAAAAAAAAAGTTGTTCTTTGCCTCGGCTAGGTGCAAAACCTGATGAGTTCAGCCCACCCTGAACTTAAATCCTGAACTTTTCTTTTACTACTACCAAATTATTTGAATTTTGTTTCATCAATCTTGTACTTATAAAGGGTCGCACTTGGTGTGATGGCAAGTGCCTTCGCCCATGAGCGGTAGGTCTCGGGTTCGAGACTTGGGAGTAGCCTCTCCATAAATGGGGGTAAGGCTAGCCGACATTCACCTCTCCCAGACCCTGCGTAAAGCAGGAGCCTTGTGCACTGGGTACGACCTTTAATCTTGTACTTATATCTTGAACTTGTACATATGCATGTGAACTTCATAGGCCCAAATAAAAGCAACATATGAACTGGGTAGTGGCGACATGCGATGGATGTCAAATCACTGTTCATATGCTAATCATTTTGGATTTGGTTTCCATAAAATATTGTTCTGTTGTTCTCGATATACCTTTATTTCTTTCTTTGTTTTCTTTTTTATTCTAAAATGTTGATTATCAAGTGGGCGTGGGGGGGGTTTCTCCGTAATGATTAAAAATGTGTCAGTCTGCTCGAATTTGATTCTTTCAGTTGTGATGACAATCGAGGATAGAATAATGCCTGCTTTTCCCTTGAGACCAATTCCCATTATTTCTATTTATCTCCAATCTTTTGGCTGTTTCTTAATTTTATTTTCATTCCTTTTGGGATTGAAAGTCAACTGCATCAACAGTTTAAGATCTTGATTTGCTTCTAATTCTCCTTTGGCTTTATGCTGGAGTTTTGAAGATCCAAACATTGAAAGGGAAAAAAAAGAAAAGAATATATCTTCATGAAGATTAGTGTTAAGATGATTTGGTGATAGAAATGTCGCTCAAATGATTACTCAGATTCGCAGATGGTTTCTCCGTTTTTCTTTTGTTGCCAGACGCTCAGATGGGGTTTCTATTAGAACACCTGGTTTCTGTAGTGGATTACAATATGATCCATGCATTTTTATTGTTTCAGATATTTAGATTTGTAGGATCTCATCACTGTTGTGTCAGTCCCACACATTTGGAAGTTTGTGGTACTCTATTTGTGGAAAAACCTGTGTGTATAGATACTCATAAATATGTTGATATGCTATATGATGCGTGAATGAATGCCTTGATTTTGTCTGTTTCTTTATCATATTTGCAATGCTATTCTGATACATCTTGTCACAGTTCTTGTTTGTTTGTTATTTTGCAGAAAATCGAGCAAGAGAAGCTGGAGAAGCTTGCACGTAAAGTATGATAAGAATGTTTTACTTTTTATGTCCTTTAAGAATTAAGCAATCTTAGATGCTCATCACGTTAGAATGTAAAGCATTCTTTATTTATTTTAGCAGATCACTTATGAAGGTTTTTGTAGTGTTCAATGAAAGCAGCTCGTTTAAATTGAAAAACAAAATAATACAAGTGGGGACCATGCATTGATGTGCACATATTTTATTCATCTCCTGTCCCTCTGGTGGGGACAGCCCGATAAAACTGGAACGACATCACTTGCGCTTTATAGTGCGATTTGTTGGTGTCAATTTTTATTTTTGCGTAGCTGATCACATATTTATTATGGTTATAACAAAATCAATTCGATTTATACGTTCGGGTTGATTTATACACTGGTTGGGATTGGCATGCCGCTGCCACAAATAATATGCTCAATTTGAACATTTTCAGGGCCCTAAACCAGAAGAGAAGCCAGCTGGAAGCTCAGGGGGCTCAGTCTCTGATGCCAAACCAAGTGCCTCTTCCTCTGGAGCATCAACAGCCAAGGTATCGACTGACAAGTACCGGAATTATGCTGTTGTAGCTGGTGTTATGACTGCTGCTGCTTCTGTCGGTTGGTATCTCAAAGCTAGTCGGAAGAAGGAAGAAGTGCAGGACTGAGATTGACGTGATTTGATGTGGACTATCGAAGCTTCAGTTGTTATAACTAGTTCTGGTAGAGCACAGGAATCATACAAGCTGTGAACCTTCTCTGTTTGTGTTCCGGATGTATACTGTTTTGAGTTCCGCAATATTCTCATGACCTTTTCTGTTTCGGGAAATACATGCGTAAATGATAGGAGCTTAGCACTTGGTTTTCCAGTGCGATTGTTTTTCCATCATGTTAACAAGTTAACAAGTGGGTGGAAAATGGTGTTGAATTGTGTTACCAATAGACTTGGCATTCGTGTTGTGTTTTCTGTGTTCGTGTCGTTTTCGTGTCATACCCACGTGTTACTTGCTTGTATACTCGTTAAAGAACCCGTTATCGGGTCACCAGATAATGATCCGATAAGTTATCGTGTTGATTCGAAATATGTTATTTTCATGTTTTTGTGTCGTGTCAGAAACTGCCTGGTCTAGTTACCAGATGGGAATGTCACTGGGGCTCAAGGAGTGGTTGTAAACGCAGCGCAGGTTCGTTAATTTGTGAATTACTTCACCACCATTATGGTGTTCTGTGTTAATAATACATACGTAAGACTTTTTCGGTAACCAAAACTGAAAATTCGGTACGAATATTAGTATCTCACATCTGTTAGTTCTGTAAGACCGAAATCGAATTAAGTAGTATCTCTCTATTTCCTTCTTCGGCCACACCGCACCACACCATACGCTAGCCACACCACCGACGTGACTCTCTCTCTCTCTCTATATCACCTTCGACGACTCCGACATGACGCTTTCTCTCTCTTTCACCTCCGATGGCTGCAATGCAGAAAGAAGAAATTTCATCCTAATTCATCAAATTTAATTAGGGCGTCGATTTGGGATTCTAAAATGGAAATTTTGAAATAGAATTAGGGTTTCTGTTTGGGTTAAACTTAAACTTTGGGCTCAAAAGGTAGTTGGCCCAAAAAGAGAAGTCCAGCCCAAGCCCAGAAGGCAGAAAAGGCCTTTTTCGACTAGGTGCAAATCATTTGTACCACTTGCTCACCTACCCAAAGATCAAGTGGTATAAACCAGCCAGCTAATCAGCCCAAAAAATACTTTACAGTGGCAATACAAGTAAATAGCTGATGAGTCACTATCCTTCAAACTGCATTCGGGCAAGATTATTGCTACAGGAGACCAAGCCAAAGTGTCTATAAAAGAAGAAAGAAAAATCAGAGTTGAGGATACTCAATCAAACAAACAAATACAATCACAAACTTTGCTCAAAGCCAGATTTGCCTTCAAAACGAAGCTGTAGTCAGCCCAAGCCTTCATCCCTCTCGGGATAAACCCTTTGTAATAGCTCTGCTACCTTGTCAAGAACCTGCTGTAGTATCGATTTCTTTCTGTAAACTCATCTCCCTACCCCTTTTCTAAATCTCTCAACCCCCTTGATAAACCACAAAGATAGGAAGTTGCAAGACGATCAGCCTTACCCGACCTTCTTTGTTTCTGTCTTTTCATTCATTAACCTAGCAATATGTTGTATACTTCAAGTTGTATTCAAGTTATTTCTAGTCAGATGACTATTAAAAAGACTCTTTCAGTGCTTGAATTCGATTTGAATATGTCTTCACAATTCAAACCAGATCTAAGTTTTAAGCCCTCGGGCATGTAAGATTTGATCACTTAAAAGTCCTTGGCCTCAAGGCATAAAAAAGAACCTTATGTGGACTTAACTCATCCACGACAAGCTTTGATAACAAGAAGTTTGAAGTTACTTGGGGCGCAAGTAATCGACTTATCCCTTAGTTTTATTTCTATTATATTATGATTACCATAGAACGTTTGAGTATGGAATGAATTCTGATAGGAAGCCTCAAGGCCTACACTTAAGGCCCTACAAAGGCACCTATTTGGATTCATTCTATTCCTCGGGCTAGAACGTTTGAGTATAGAAGGAATTCTGATGGGAAGCCTTAAGGCCTATATCTAAGGCCCTACAAAGGCACCTATTTGGATTCATTCTGCTCTTCGGGCTCAAGTAATCAGAAGTATAATAGTTATAAGACGCATACAATCAATGAAACGATCATTATATGTTCGAGTGCTGAGTTAGTTATTGACTGGAAGCCTCAAGGCTTACACCTAAGGCCCCACAAAGACATCTGTCATAACTAACATAGTCTCTCGGGTATATATACAATTAAAACTCAACATCCGTTTTACATCTGTCATGCTGAAGATGGCAGTGGCACGCCTGAGCACTTAAAGTTAATCTTGATTGTGAGCCTCAAGGCCTACACCTAAGGCCCCACGAAGCCACCTTTCAAAGTTAACTATGTCTTTCTCTTTCAGCTTTGCTCGACAAGCCTTGCCCGATAAGCCCGCCAATGAAGCAGAAGCCCGACATAAAAACATCAACCGGCGCCAACCTCTCGGGGAGCTGTGTGCTCATCGGCTAGGAGACATCCCCGACGGAAATTCGAGCCACGAACAATTTCAAGTTGGGATTTTTGAATTTTAATAAGGGTTTAATTACGCCTTTACAATTACTGAATCGAAAAAACCAAAACTATTTTTGTACTACCCCAATTCTGGTATAAAATCAAAACAATCGGTTCCGTTTCGTTTTTTTTCCTCTTCTGAACCGTTCGATTTTTTTTTGGGACCACCCATTTCGGTTCAGTTCAGAAGTCCAACTCTGACCGTTTTAAAAATTAAATATAGAAATTGGATAGTTTTATATCGCACTGAATAATATGGTCCGAATGCACGAGTCCAAATACCCGTATGCTCACCGGTGGGACAAATTTTTCAGGGTACCCGGTTCTCCATCTGAGATGGTGTTCCCAGCAAATAGAGGCGTGACACATATTTATTTAGTTTTGAATTAAGAGAGCTGTTATTCCCATCTTAATGTCTTATCTTTCCATCCACCTTTTTATGATTTTTTTTAATTACAAATTTGTCAATTTGTAAAATGACTAATAAGGACCTTAGTTACCCCTTTTTGCATTACTTTTTTTTTTATAAAAAAAAAGAAAAAAAGAAAAGTTTGGACGTGATAACTCTCATGCTATGTTTAGACAATTTATCTCTCTTAAACCCTAACGCATCATTCCCATCTCCTTTCATTCAGAGAAAGCAAAAAGAATGAACTTAAAAGATGACGTTTCTATAGAAGAAGTAGATGATTATGTTTCCGTTGAAGAGGTAAAAGATAATTTTATGTGGGTCATTTTGATTTGTCGACATCGTACAATTGAAGCATAGCTCTGTGACTTTTTATTTGAATTTGCATTAGGTTATGGTGCAATTTGTTTCACGTTTTCCTATGAGAATGCCTATAATTCGTTTTCATTAGGTTTGGGTAATAATTCAAGTAAGGCATGTTTGTCACAACTGACACTGATAATCGTCCAACTTGATGTGTTGTCTCTAAAACCTACACACAAATCCCTTTCAGCACTATTTTCAACTTGATGTAATGCCCATTTATTTACGTATGGTGGAATTCGTTTGCAGCAGGTAGATGAATCTGGTAATAATTCAACATCTACACATATGGTGAACTACACTAGTGAATTTACCACAAATAAGGTAATATTTGCTTGACTACACAATTGATTTACTTATACTCTTGTATGTTTATTCATAATGTGCAATTTTGGTACGTAGTTATTCAAGAGTAGAGAAGAATGAATACAATAGGTTCGAGAAGTTGGGAAGTTCAATGGTTTTGTTATTGTGACGTTACAATCTGATCAAGGTGGAAAAGATAACAGGAGCCCTAGACTTACATTGGGTTGTGAAAGGAATGGACAATATGTAAGTCGAATTCACAAAAAGGACACAAAGGATGAGGATAGTAGGAATTCTAGAAAAAAAAATGTGGATGCCCGTTTCAATTAAAAGGTAAAAAGCTAGCAATTGATGATGATTGGATATTGACAGTAGTTATTGGAGTGCATAATCACACAGCAGCATGCCATTTGGAGGGTCATTCATTTGCTGGTAGATTATTGTCTGAAGAGACTTTGTTGTTGACTGATTTGTCTAAAAGTTTGGTGCAACCAAAGGAGATTTTGACTACACTAAAATGAAGAGACAAACGAAATGTATCTACATTGAGGACAATTTATAATGCACGTCAACATTTGAGGCTTTTGGAGAAAAGTGGGAGGTCCCAAATGCAATAATTGAAGAGTAAGCTATTTGAGCATAGGTACACTGAGTGGCATAGGAGTTTCCCAAAGACTAATACTATTTTGGACTTGTTATGGACACACCCGACTTGTTCGGACAATTCCAGATTCTGTTCATAGTATTTTTTTTTCAATAAACTCTCGTGTTTCGATGTTTTTCTGTATTTTTCTAACTAAATTGCTCTTGGTTTGTTCCTCAGGGAATATGAATTGGGATTTTTTCAGTCTTGTTTTGCTTTAGAATTCATGCTCTTCTTTTAAATCCATGTCTACGATTTAGTGTTTTTATTTTCTGGAATAATTATAAAATGTTTTTATCCCTAGGATTTTGGTTGCCCAAATCAGAACCCACCTCTCTGCAACTCTTATCTGCCTTCCCTTAATGAAATTTTAGAAAGCATTCTCCATCATCATCTAGCATAACCTCACATACATGCGTTCCATGCAAAAAAAAAAAAAACCCCAGGGGTTCGGACTTGAGTGATGGTTTACTTGAGTAAGCTTCTCCCTTTTCAATCCCTATCAAACATGTATATCAGGCTGAAGATTAGAAGACCTTAGTTTTTTTTCCTAGCTTTTAGAAGAGAGTAATATCATTTGTTTATATTCTTTTTTTAAGAGAAAAGTTTATCTCTCTCTCTCTCTCTCTCTCTCTCTCTCTCTCTCTCTATATATATATATATATCTACTAATTAATAAAACACTACTTGTCAACCAAAACTTTGTGAAATTACTAGTTTGACCATCTAATTAAAACTGAACATGAATAAGAAATATGGGGCAGAAATGTAATTTCACACAACCAAATTTTGCTATTTTTTTTTCAAAAACTACCATGTTAGTTGACACACCCCGACCCGGAAGGTCCACTAGGACTCCGAATCGAGCTGTGCTGGCCGACACCTAGAATGTGACGAAGCCATAAAGTCTGATGATGTGGAAATATTATGAATAAATTTAAACCTAAGAGTGCCTAAATACTAGAGTGCACTGGTGAGCGGGAATGAACCCACTTCACACGTGACGTTAGAGCATAAACAAGTATAGAAGAGTGAATTAAGAATCGTACCCTCGAAATAATCTCCAATACTAAGAATCGCCACGATTCCTCGACGATAAAAAGGCTCAGCTAAGAAGACCTGAAGGGTGAAGACAAGACAAAGGTGAATGGCTCAGTAGATAAAATTTTAATAGAAACCCCTCGCTACAACGCCTGTAAAATTTCCAGAATTAGAATATAAAAATATCCATATATATATATATATATCAGTTCAAGTCATGCTTCACATATTTATAATCACATGCTAACTTATCGCATATTCATGACGTCTACTAGTTTATAACGTATTCACCACATATGCTAGCTCATCACGTATATTCATTATATATATGCTAGCATTTCACCATAAATAGGCTAGCATCTAAGTCAGAATCACCTCTAGTGACCTATACGACATATTCATATCTTATCAATCATGACTAGCATGCAAGTCAGAGTCACCTTCAGTGACCTATACGACATATTGGTATCTCATAACATATCTCATCAATCATGGCTAGCATATAAGTCGGAGTCACTTCTAATGACCTATACGACATATTTATATCTTATCACATATCTCATCAATCATGACTAGCATATAAGTCGGAGTCACCTCTAATGACCTATACGACATATTGATATCTCATAACATGTCTCATCAATCATGGCTAGCACATAAGTCGGAGTCACCTCTAGTGACCTATACGACATATTCATATCTCATCACATATCTCATCAATCATGACTATCATATAAGTCGGAGTCACCTCTAGTGATCTATACAACATATTCATATCTCATCACATATCTCATCAATCATGACTAGCATATAAGTCGAAGTCACCTCTAGTGACCTATACGACATATTGATATCTCATCACATATCTCATCAATCATGGCTAGCACATAAGTCGGAGTCATCTCTAGTGACCTATATGACATATTCATATCTCTTCACATATCTCATCAATCATGGCTAGCATATAAGTCAGAGTCATCTCTAGTGACCTATACGACATATTCATATCTCTTTACATATCTCATCAATCATGGATAGCATATAAGTCGGAGTCACCTCTAATGACCTATACGAAATATTGATCTCTCATCACATATCTCATCAGTTCCACTAATATCGTATACTTACTTGAATTTACGTAAACTTACCTGAACTTACCTATGTGTCCTGTGTTCACCTTTGCATTTCAGAGCGTTCACAGTACCACAATTATATATACATATATGCAAACAATTCAACTCATCATTTAAGCATTATTCAATAGGCATGGCATTTTTAAAGTATAAATCATTTAATTGCATTTTCTGGGAAAAACATCAAGTGTGTGTGTATATATATATATCCTTAAAACCAAAAGTCCACACATTGCTCAATTCCTTAAACAAGGCTATGATCTCGATTATTTAATCTCATTTCTTATATGGCTGCATCTAACGTCTTGTTAGACTGCCTACGTACCCTAAATAGGGATCAAGCCATTCATAGTTCACAATAATCATTTATAGTAATACGCACATGGATATATCACGATGAAATCTAAACCCAACCATCTCATAGTATTTTATAACATATATATATATATATATGTCATGGCATAAATTTCTCAGTTTTATTTAAAAGCATTTATAGAATTATAAATCATGAAACATAAGATGAGCAAGGAAAGATCCACTCACATGGAGTCCGCGCTATAACTTCCTAGCACGAACATCTAGGCGTCACAAACGATCGGCGCCTGTGACCAATTATCAAACCATATCTCAGAATTCTCATTGATACAATACATAACTTACATCGCACATAAGTCTACCCAATTCGGTCTAGAAGATCTACAAATCAGATCTCTGATCCATAACTTCCAAGGATCCACATTATGCTTCTAAAATAACATACTAAAGTTTCGGAACGAGCCAACGGTCGGATCTCCGCCAATTGCCAAAACCAAGTGGCGGTTAACATTTTATTTTACGAACTTACAAATCCAATTCAAGGAGATCTATACGTTAGATTTCAAATCCATAAGTTCCTATGTTCCTCAAATATTATGAATAATAACATATTAAATTTTGATGACGATCCAACGGTCGGATCGTCGATTCATACAATGACCTATTAACGTATCTTAGAGAATTTTTGTTCTAACGATCAATCTATGTCATTCAACTCTCAAAACTGAATTCAAGGCATCTTATATAGCATAAAACTAGCATTGGCGGCCCTCGGGCCACGCGCCGCCGCACTCGCCGCCGTAGGTGGCGGTTGGGCGTCCCGATTGGCCGGAAAAATCAACTATTTCTAAAAATTACCAAAATTTGTATATTTGAAGATCTCAATGAGTAGAACAACTTTCATACCTGTGACCAAGGCCAATTTGGCCTGGAAAGGCTCCAATTTTATCAAAAGCCGTCGGAACCCTAAAATTGGGTGTGCTTCAATTCGACCTCCAAACGTGTTCCAACGCCTCCACCACTGCTTGGGCTTTGTTCCTGGGTTCAAGGGGGGTCTAATGGTGGTGGTGGTTGATGGGATTTGCTTCATAAATAGTGGATTGCCGCCACCCCACCTCCGGGGCACTACCTTGAAAAACCCTTCAATTACCCTCAAATTCCTTTCAATTTTGGGTGATAATGGGAAAAGGAAGGGTTAGATGATGATTGGGAGTGATGACTTGGTCCAATTCGTGAGAAATCTGGTGGAAAACCACCGGAATCGAGGAGTGGACGGGTTTTGCACATGTCACGGGTTGGGTACCCGTTTCCCCCCCTTTTCCCCCATTCCTCACTTTCCCTCCTTTCCCTCCTTTCTTCCCCCCTCTGATTGGTCCCTCCATTCTCTCTTCTTTCTGGTTGGGCAGCAACCCTTCTCTTTCTCTCATCTTCTTCTTCTTCTTCCTTTTTTCTTCCCTCTTTCCCGTCACATACACACACACACCCACTCACACAAATACACTTGTCCTCTTAATTAGTATGCCATAATATAATATAATTAGAAAGGTTATTTCTTCAAAATATTTTCAGTTCGTCACTCCAAATTCACTTCCGCTTGCGCATACTCGTTTGTATCGTCGATTACCTCAAGAATACGCTAAAAGAATATTTAGTACATCTCACCACAAGCTAGTCAATGAGAGTCAAAACCTTCGTCTCTAGGGCGTTTTCGTAATTTCACATTTTAAAATTCATAAATTAATAAAATCTGGGATGAATTGTCACATTAGTGGGTGGTTTCATGGTTTTGCTTCATTTTTTTGAATAGTTTTTTAATAAAAATATAAAATAGTTATTTAAAAGAAAATTAAAAGACATAATCTAATATAAAAATATCAATAATGCATGTGGCAAGAGGCTTGTGTGTGTGCGCGTGTGTGTCTATATATATATATTAAGGGTTATTTTAGGAATAATAATGGATGGAAAAATAATATTTTAATTTTGTAACTTTTTACAGTGAATGTAAATATGATGTGGACGAGGAAATAAGACAATAGAATGGTAGTAGCTCTAAAAAAAATGTCACTATTTTTGTCAGTACATTCCTAATTTACCGCTAAAATGAAATAGAATTTCGAAAAAACCAATCTCCTCACGCCAAGAACTCACACCGACCAATAACCCATCGCCGCCATGAAATCATGGCAAGACAACGACCCACCTCCATTGATAGGCGATAATTACACCAGCGACATTCTCTCACTTCCTAATCTTCATTTTCTCCTCTTCCATTATTAACTCGTCATGAAGCCCGATGCTTTGCGACAACTTCAACCTTCATATCTGTTGTCGCCAACTTTGTAAGGATGGCCGACGACAATTTGTAGTGTCCTTCTCCGACGTAAGGGAGGAATAGAACGAAAAATAGGAAAGTAGAAGAGATAGAAATAAAAAAGGAGAGGGGAAGGGAAAGATGAGTGCGGCTGGGGCGGAGATCTGGAACTCTGGGATGAGAATCTGGGTCAATTTCCTTAATTATTATTTTTTATTTAATTTATTTTCTGAAAATTTAGGATTAAACGGGTAGATTGTTTGCAACCTGTCAAAAAGATGGCCGCGTGGTAAATAAAGCTACGTGTCACTATTTGTATAACCTCGTGTACCCGATCACATTGAAAAATCTCTGGAGCACCGGAACCCAGAAAAATTTCTCCACCCGTAGTGGAGAATCAAATGGCAGGTCTACTCCACTTTGCTAAAGGCGGCGGAGTTAAAAGCGCCACTCAACCAATTAACAAGACTTATCACGCTAAAGTAAACAGAAGATTTTCAGGGGAGGACAGGATCAGAACATAATCCGCTCAGAGAGAAGAAAATGGAAAAGGATAAACGGGAGGTGGTGGTTTCAGCTCTGCAATTCGCTTGCACCGACGACGTCGCCACCAACGTCGCCACCGCCGAAAGGTCTCTCTTCCCTCTTCCTCTTCACCCCTTTAATCTTATTTGATCAATAAATTTGCTGAGTTTTGTTTCTCCACAATTTATTAAAGTTTGCAATTTGAAATTTTTTATGTGTATTTCAGCAACCATAGAACCAAAGGGTATCAGCTTGTTTTCCGTATGTGAACAATTCTTGTACTGGTTTAATTTCTGGGTTGTTCTTCTTTTGCCAATATTACTCCATTTTACTGGTTTTTTACCCAGAACATTGCTCCAATTGTATAATTATATGTTCGTGTTTGTTTTCCCATTCCTCGCAATGTGGCCAATACTGAAAACCCTTTTGTTAGAGTAAAAGTAAGTGGTTGCTGTGGATTCTATTCGCTTTAAGGCGGATGTCTCTTGATTTCAACTTGACACTGCTTTACTCAGGTACAGTTTGCTTGCTCTGATTAATAGGCTCGTATTAACCTTTCAACTTTGATCTCATGACGCCTCTCATCAATTACTTAAAGAGTATGCTTTTGAAGTTTGTTATGCGTATTGAATCAAAATTTATTGGTTAACATGAAGAAAGTCATTTGCTTACGTGTTCCAAGCTTTTGTTCTATTGTTGGTCGGATTTCGATCAAATGACTGAGAGCGTGGTTTGTGTCTCATTAGATTACTTAAAGAGTATGCATTTGAGCATTCTAGTGCGGGTGTGTAGTGCTTCGAAAGAGGAAGCCCTCTTTTTATGAAAAGAAAGAACTACAGTGTGCGGTCCCATCATCGATATTGAAACCATCTATCTTTTAGGTCCTCTTCAAGGATCATCTCTTCAAAAAATTAACTTAATGATTTTTTTAGCCATTTAATTTGCATTTGGACACCCACGCACACAAGTTTGTGACAAGAGTTCACATGACCTAGTGGGAAAAGGCTTTGTTGTTGAAGCATATTAATGGAAGGGGTAGAGGTCCAGGGCTTAAGGGGTAGAGGAAGACCTAGGAAAACTTTGGAAGAGACTTTAAGAAAAGACTTAGAGTACTTGGATCTAACGGAGGACATGACACAGAACCGAGCACAATGGCGTTCTAGGATTCATATAGCCGACCCCATTCAGTGGGAAAAGGCTTTGTTGTTGTTGTTGTTGATGTGAAGCATATTAGTGGATGATGTTATTTCAGAAAATTGAACTATTTTAGAATTAGGCTATTACACTTTATTTGAGAGTAAATGAGGATAAATTTTTTTTCCCACCTACACTATATGGATTTGGATCTAGTTTTTGTTTTGGGGTTGGGGTGGTTAATTTAAACTAAAGAGTTGAGATCTTGAGGGGTCTTGAGGGTCTTGCCTCAGCTGAGTCCTCTCTGGGTCAGCCTTGACCTAAAGTTATGTTTGCCCTTCCCCATGCTCCTGCTTTTTCTCTAAAGCAATATCTTGTGAGTTGAATTTATTATCCTTTTCCATTCAGGTTGGTTAGAGCTGCTCATGCGAAGGGTGCAAATATCATTCTTATACAGGTATGACACTTCAAATCTGGAAGATTTTTTTTTTTCCTAAGTTTTGAACTCTTTTATTTTCCCTTTCTTTTCTTTTCCATGCTTGTAGTGGTACATCCTCAAAGTTATTAAGAGATAATTCAAATTAGAAGTATATCTGCAGAGCTTAACCTAAGCGTACAAAAGGTAGAGTAAGAAAATGCATTCAACCTAAGATACGAAGAACTTTGATAAATTCTTTGACACAACTTTTGGACAACAGTCAAGCTTTCATGCTCCTATCCAATAATGGATGTTGCTTCAGTTCATTGACACATTGAAGTTCTGAACAGTGCTGCACTTAGTGCTTGCAACTATTACGTGCATGTAATTTTTGTGGCCTTTTAGCACCTTGTTTTGGGAAAGGATAAAAGAATACATAATTATGGTAAACCTAGGCATATGAAGGGGAAAAATAACCCAGATAAATATGGCTTGAGGAGCAAATTTTCCATAAACGTATGATTGAATGTACATTTTGATAGTTTAAGTCCTTTCTGATTGATTGTTGCAGGAACTCTTTGAGGGACATTACTTCTGTCAGGCACAAAGGGAGGACTTCTTTCAGTGAGCAAAGCCTTACAAGGGTCATCCAACCATTCTTAGGTGAGTATTGGAAAATAGCTTTACAACATACCAGGATACTCTTAAAAAAGAATAAATGAAAAAAGAAGAGAAGAAAAGCTTCTTAATTTAATTTGTGCACATTTTTCGGGCAGTAATACTTGTTAAGAATTTTAATTGCAAGCTCTGTAGGATGCAGAAACTTGCCAAAGAGTTGGGTGTGGTAATACCAGTTAGCTTTTTCGAAGAGGCAAATAATGCCCATTACAATTCAATTGCCATTATTGATGCTGATGGGGCAGATCTTGGACTTTATAGGAAGTCCCACATCCCAGACGGACCAGGTATTCGAGTAGGATAATGTTCCTGTTGTTTAAATTCACCCGTTACCTTTAATAACAGCCACTAGTTTTCTGCTGCAGGCTACCAGGAAAAGTTCTACTTCAATCCAAGGTGATACTGGATTCAAGGTCGGTGCTTCAGACAATTACAATCTATACGTAATGCTATTTAGCCTGCTTTTGATGGTGATTAATGATGTAGTGTTGTTGTTAAGCAGGTTTTCAAGACCAAGTTTGCAACTATTGCAGTTGGTGAGAAAATTTTAAAGTAGATGCTTCTCTAATTTGATGATTTTTAAAGGGGCACCAGTTGCCCAATTCAAAGGCTGGCCATATCTATAATATTCTGTGGGCTTTATTTGAACTCTGCAATCTTTCTGTACTCGATAGTAAAAATCATCCGGAGCTTTGTGTGTTTGACCAATGGTATACTTAATGTGAAGACTAGAATCTAAATCTGCTAGTACTTCATTTTGTATCAGCAATTTGCTGGGATCAATGGTTTCCCGAGGCTGCCCGGGCTTTGGAGGCTGCCCGGGCTTTGGTTCTTCAAGGTGCTGAGATATTGTTTTACCCCACTGCTATTGGTTCCGAACCTCAAGATGGAGGTCTTGATTCTCGTGATCACTGGAGGCGAGTGATGCAAGGGCATGCTGGGGCTAATGTGGTAAGTTTATTCAGAGTAGTTTGGCTACTGGCTTCTTTCTTTTTTCTCCCTCATTTTGGCACTAAGTAGGGCGGAGGACCAGACTACTGTTTTGACTTAGAAAGCATTTTTATTAGTCTAGGTTAGCTTGTATTTCCTTGTCCATTTCAGTGGCTATATCTGGAGTTAAAAGTTTATTTTCTTTATTATTTATTCTCTAAACTCGCGACGTCCTTGGATCAACAATGGCCAGTCATAAGATGCAACATAAAAGGGTGACAATTCGAGATCTGTTTTGTACTGAATTCTTTTCAAGGAAAGTAATCTAGTTTTGATGAACTTCAGGTCCCTGTAGTAACTTCAAATCGCATAGGAAAGGAGATAATTGAGACCGAGCATGGAAAGAGTGAGATCACTTTCTACGGTAACTCTTTTATAGCAGGTATATTTCTCTGGTTTTATGGAAGTTGAAACTACATCTATATAGTCTATCTTATGTTAATGTTGGATATGAATTATTAAGAAGTAGTTGGATTTGCATAATTCATTGTCCAGGACCCACTGGTGAAATTGTTGCAACTGCTAATGATAAAGAGGAAGCTGTGCTTGTAGCCCAGTTTGACCTAGACAAAATCAAATGGAAGAGACATAGCTGGGGAGTATTCCGCGACCGCCGCCCAGATTTATACAAGGTGCTACTGACATCAGATGGCAGCAATTCCCCTTTGTGATCATGCGTTTTGACAGTGCTTGTTGTAGAATTAATAAAGTACTTCCAAGGTACGGTGCCTCGTACGATTGGAGGATTTAGGATTTACTTTCGAGGAAGAAATTTTCTCAAGTGAAGTATTATTGGATGATCATCTCTATTTGCTTGTCTAAATCTTGAAGGTATCCGGTATTTATTAAGAATGAGATTATCATATTTCTTATTTAGTATGCTATTATATCGCTTCTAGTTAATTTCATTTGTGCTGTTTAATGATACAGGGACATTCGAACCTAATACCTCTCACAAATAAAGATGAATACTATTAAACCGTAATACTAAATGAACGGATAAAAATTAAAGTAGGTGTGAACAAAGCTTATGACAGAATAATAAATTGGGAACTTGTATATCTCTGCTCACTCAAATTTGGATTTAATGAAAGATTATGCATTGTGTTTCTTATTACACATGGTTATATTAAACTTTCTTCAGTCCTTACGTAGTTCTTTGCATTAATTGAACTTTTTATTCGACATTTTAATAATCTTTCAACTCATTCATCGACTCATGTTGAACCATTAATTTCAAATCCTATTTGTTTAATATAATATAATATTTTTTAAGAAAGTTTAATCAAAAGTAATGGTTTAAAAAAAAAATTGAAAATAATATAATATTTTGACCTCTCATTCATATCTCGTATGACATATTTGGCACATCCTCACCAGCTTTTATTGCGTATTAGGTTTCTTTCTTTAGCAGAATTGTCACATGAGAGAGAGAGAGAGAGAGAGAGAGAGAGCTTACTTGCAGCTTCATCTCAAATAAACTCACTCAATAATATGATATTTTGACACAATTTGTGTTGGATATAATCGCTAGAATTAGTATAAAAAATTTGAAAATATTTGTGTCGGTTGTAACCGTCAGAGTTAGCATAAAAAATTCGAAAATAATTGACAGATTTGACACATTTACTCATGTCGGATATATCTGCCAAAATTGGTTAAAATTATTTAAAAAATATATCTAATAGAGTTAAGGGCCCACTTCATTATTCTTGTCGGATATAACCGATAGTAATACTTTATTTGCTGACACTTTTTAAACATGTTGTCAGAAAACATTTTATCCTATAGTAATAGTATAAAACCGCCACCACTAACCAACAAAAGAAGCCTATTTTATAGTAGTGAATCGATATGCGATCAGCACCAACAAAACACAAGTGCCAAAATACAAAACTACAGATGCAAACAAGTCCCAAATGAACAAATCTAATCCCTAACTTAACAACTACAAAGATGCACAATGAAGACATAAAATTGCCTCTAAAAAGCTCATCAAAAGATAAAAGCAGCCAAAGCCAGCAACCATAGAAGGAGGTGGCGCAACAAGGGAATACTTCCGATGCCAACAAAGTAAGAAGACAGAACACCATCAGAACCGTAGAAGGAGGTGGCGCAATGACCCAAACCAATTGTTAAGCGGTTTCACACACCTCCATCCGAGTGAGCGACAACTCACTCTCAAGGTGGGTAGCAAACATAGTAGCAAATAGAGGCTTCTCAATTGAAAGCAAGCATCCAACATACAATTGGAGGATTTGTAGGCGGATGAATGGAAGGTAAATGAGAGTTCTCGTGTGATGCACATAGGAAGGAGATCTAAGTAATTGTTTGAGTTAGTGTAGAAATATATTGTATTGATTTAATTGATCTCACAAACATACAAATATATACAAGTCAATTGACTTGAGGTACAAGTAATCTAAAGCCCAAATGGATTTACGAAACATAGCCCATAAGAATCCTAATAATTGGATTCTCCTACACTAACAGTCCCCTTCCAACTTGGTGGTCTTGGAGTAACAAGTTGGAACGTAGAAAATCAAAATGAGGCTTAGAGAGTCCCTTAGTGAGAACATCAGTAGGTTGATCAATGGAAGGAATAAATTAGACTTTGTGAGTGCCCAACTTAACCCGTCCATGAACAAAATGGTAATCAAGCTCTATATGCTTTGTCCAAACATGAAAGACAGGATTGGCAGCCATCATGTAAGTAGTACTGAGATTATCACAAAACAGAAATGTGGGTGAAGTGACCGGAAATCGAAGCTCACGAATTATCCAAAATCATGTCAATAAAAACAAACACCAACAAATTATCCAAACATACAAAATTGTTCAAAAAAAAAAACCAAACTAGTTAAGGAAATCATAGGGCCATGTCTAAATATATATATATATATATATATAATCTTTCATCGATGCAGATACTTCTTGAAAATCAAAGATCTCCACGGTGGTATCTTCGGGATTATCCACTTAAGCAAAATTTGTCGAGCAAACCTTAATGACGTGAAATGATACTTGGCAAGAGCTTGAGTAGAAGACCGGCAAGCTAGGGACCAATGTTCCTTTGAACCACATCGGTAACACATATCAAGTTCCGTAGAAGCTTGGGTGGTTTAGTCTTTGCTTTTATTCTTGAAGTTTGAGGCTTTGGGAGCTAGGAAATCATGTTTCGGGGTTGTATTTCCTCCCTTGGATGGGTCTCTGCCCTTTCGACCCTGGGGCGCTAGCTTAGAGATAGAGCCCTTGTTGTTCCTACCATGCTTGTTGAGTCGGTTTTGGCCTCGATATTTGTTGACATGTGCTTCAAGTACAACGCTCGAGCTAGTGGGCCTTTCTTGATGATTCTTCATCAAGAGATGACTATTCTTCTCAGCTACTGGCAAGACAAATATTAAATTCGATAACTTCGTAAAGTTATGAGCCCTATTTTGTTTTTGCATGACAATATTGGTGGCATGAAAAGTAGAATAGGTCTTTTCTAGGAAATCATGTTTAGTCTAGTCATCTTTGCGGAATTTGAGGAGTGATCGAAGTCTACATAATTTAGAGTTGTATTCATTCACAAACTTGAAGTCTTGTAAGCGTAAATGCTACCAGTCTTATCTTGTTTTAGGCAAGAACATCATCTTCTGATGATCAAAGTGCTCTTTCAGGGCGAGCCATAAAGCTCAGTGCTAGATCCTCTTCAGCGAGGTAGTTGGTTTGCAGTGCGTTGTGCATGTGTCTTCTAATGAAAATTATGGCGGTGGCTTTGTTAGCTTCGCCAACCGTACATTCGTCTCAGTGTCAATAGGGGCTCTCATTCTCTTTCTGGCAAAGTAGAGCTTCACATTTTAGACCTACTAGGATTTTTAGTACCTACGCAAATAGGGTTAAAATCACTGAAAATACTTGCAAGAATACAAGGTAATTGTAGTATAGATGCTCATGCAAGGTCGTTGTTGTTTGACTAATTTGTAATTAAACTAATACTTACTTAATTATTAAAACAGATTTTATCAAAGATTTGAGATTTATGAATTTAAATAGATTAAATTAACAATAAAAGAAATCTGAAAGTCTGGAAATAATAACAGCAAAGAAGAAAAACGTTTTTTTTTTTTTTAAATTAACGATTTAGAGAAATCTAGGGTTTATGTGAAATCCCATCCCCGGAATTTCACTATTCATTACGTATCTCGTTATTTCAAATGACTAGGTACATGCATAGTGAAAATTGGAACTTGGAACTAGAAAGATTTTACAAAACAAGTATCAATTATTTTATTCAAAGTAGAGGGAAAAGATAATATCATTAGATATAAAATATTAATGATAGAATATATATTAATAATAAAAGAAGAAAGAGAGAAGGGTTGGAGAACCATTGGGAAAAGAAGGAAAAGAAAAAAGGGGAGAAGGAAAAGAAGGGGGGGGGGAGGATCTATGGGATCGCTCTTTTTTTTTTTTTTCTGGGAGGAAAGAGGGGAGAACTTCCCACAAATATTTCCATATCAGGGTCCTGGGTTCCTTAATCTAATCTGCTACTCTCTCTCTCTCTCTCCCCATGTTGTGTGTCTTTCCCTCCAAAATCAGGAGGTAGGCAATTCTTCCATTCCCCCTTACTTTTCTCTCAAATTAATTCGTTTAGATTTTTAGTATGATGATCATTTGTTGCATAATTCACTTGATAATGATAATTTCAACTATCTAGGTTAGTGATCATTCTATTTTTTTTTTCCTTTCGTTGTTTTCTTTCTTGGATGTGAGGGTCTGGAAATTAATTGTTCGATTTTTCAGTTGTTCGTTCCAATTATGCTCAGTAAGTTCGAGAGTCTTTTACCATTTACATGAAGGAGATATATATCATATTTGATCATCCTGTGTAAGCCTAATAATTGATCGATTTCTCTGACAAAATAATATAATGTCAAGAAAAATATGGTGAAGTGTATTTAATTTTCGCATGGTTCATTAATAATTAATTAATAAACATAATACCTCCATGACGAGCACGAGTTTATTAAAGTTAGAATTGTTGTTATTACAGCTTGGCAGCATGACTTTTGGTAACTCGAAGAAAACCACCAAAGGAAAGGGAAAAGATTAGTAGTTTGATTATAAGTAGTGTGTTTAGCTCTTCGAAAATGTATTTTGCACTCCAACCTAGTGTATAAAATAAAAATATATGTGCGGCAGAGAATGTGGGTTTCAGACATCGAATTTAGAAATTCAAGTCCCCGTTTTCAGTAATATTAGTACAAATCGTTTAGTTTGCTAATTAAAGGTTATGGAATTTTGACTGTGATTGAATAGATTTGGTTAGTGGATATTGGTAATTGTGGGTTCTTCTTGGAAAGACAAAATTAAATTAAAAGGACGAACTACGAATGACTTGATCCCTATTAAGAGTACGTAGGCAGTCTAACAAGAGGTTAGCTGCAACCATAAAGTGTACGACAAATTACTACGTAATTCAAGGCATGGGATGTGCTTGGTACTTATTCTGGAGGCGGGTATGTTAAATATATGGTTATCTGATGATGTCACATGTATAGAAACAGAAACTTCCTCAGTAAGTTTTCGATTGTATTTCACAGAATAATCAATTACACATGTAAGGATATATATAGCCTTTGGCCATTTACATTAATACCCTTTAACTGCTTTAACTAATCACTTAACTACCTTGACTAACCACAGCTATTAACAAACTAATTACATTTTAGTTATAACAAACTATTTTTTAGTAGCTATAGTGGATGACTTGTCATTCTCCCTAATACACCCCCCTCAAGCTACAAGGGGAATCAGAGTTGATTCCAATGGGAAGCTTGGAACACAGATAAGCAAATCTGCTTTTAGATAGAGACTTGGTGTGAAGGTCAGCCAAT